AGGTAGCACATAGATGTTGCATCGTTAAAAACCTTGCCGGTAAAACCCTTCTTGGGATAAAATCCGGTCGAAGGAAAAGAGTGCAACGCATGCTTTAAAACCTAAGGTCTTCAAGCTGGAAAGTGCTTCGATTGTTCTAACCGGACTCCTGCACATAGGTTAGTGTAAGATGCAAATAAAAAGGGAGACAGTTATACCTTAGTGGAGGTGGCGCTTCAAGCCTCGATATGCTCCAACCGCTTGCTCCGTGGATGCGGTACGGTCCTTTGCTCGTTTATTCAGATGCAGCCGAGAATGTGGCTTGTGATTTCTACTTCACTGTTTGCTCATCCTTTGGTTCCTTCGATGTTGAAGGCGTCGATTCCGGTGCCACATCGTGCACCGCGAACATCTCCCTTGCTGCATGCTGCTCCCCGTATACAATTTTTATTCCGTCCTTTGTTGGAAACTTCATCATTTGATGAAGGGTTGACGGTACTGCTCTCATGCAGTGTATCCATGGCCTTCTGAGTAAGGCATTGTATCTCATATCTCCTTCGATGACATGAAACTTGGCATTTTGGGTTGTGCCGGCCACGTTGACCGGGAGGGTGATTTCCCCTTTCGTTGGCTCGCTCGCCATGTTGAATCCATTGAGGACTCGAGAAGCGGGCACAATTTGGTCGAGCAGTCCGAGCTGATCCACCACCCTCGACCTGATAATGTTGGTCGAGCTACCTGGATCCACAAGTACACGTTTAATTTGAAATGTGTTCACAAGAAAAGAAATTACAGTGCATCGTTATAAGGCTGAGACAGGGTCTCGATGTCCTCGTCGTTGAATGTGAGAGCATCCTCGGGTATGTAACCTCGAGTTCACTTTTTCCTGGTGATGGATATTTTTGTTCGTTTGACAATGGGTTCCTGTGGGATGTCGACTCCCCCAAAAATCATGTGGATGACGTGTTGTGGTTCTTCTGTTTCATTTTTCCTGTTCGCCTCTCTTTCCCGAAATTGATTTTTGGCTCAGTCGTTGAGGAACTCTCGAAGGTGCCCTTTGTTAAGTAGTCGGGCTACTTCTTCTCGGAGCTGTCTGCAATCTTCGGTCCTATGACCGTGTGTGCCGTGAAATTGGCAAATCAGGTTGGGGTTCCTTTGCGATGGATCTGATAGTACAGGTTTTGGCCTCTGGTGTCTCTGATTTTACCTATGGCTGATACGATGTCCGAAACATCGACGTTGAAGTTGTACTCATATAACCGGGGTGCCTCCGTCGGCCTTGTGTATCTGTCGAATCCGGCTCTTCTCACGAGTCCCCGAGGATTCTGACCTCGATCTGTCCTTCGGTCATTTCGGGGTATGTTACGCCTTGGGGCGTTTCTTTGATCTTCCGTGTATGGTTGATACCTTTCCTTGTTCGACGTTAGTTCCTTTGCCAAGAGCCTGCTAGGATATACTGAGCCCGAGGGGGCTCTTAGTTGGTCGTCCTCGACCCTAATCTTTGATTGATATCAGTTGTGGACGTTCGACCAAGTTACGGCGGGATATTCAACCAAGTTCTGCTTCAGCTGCTTCGAAGCCACCGAGCTTCGTTCGTTCAAACCTTGAGTGAAGGCCTACACTGCCCAGTCAACGAAGACTGGCGGTAATTCCATTCGCTCCATTTGAAAGCGAGATACAAACTCCCGTAGCATCTCATTTTCCCTCTGTTTGATTTTGAAGACATAGGATTTCCTTGTAGCAACCTTGATGGCACCGGCATGTGCCTTTATAAAAGAATCTGCCAGCATGGCAAATGAATGTATTGAATTTGGGGCTAGGTTATGATACCACATCATGGCCCCTTTTGAAAGTGTTTCTCCGAATTTCTTCAATAAGACGGATTCGGTCTCGTCGTCCTTCAGGTCATTCCCCTTTACAGCACAAGTGTAAGAGTAATGTGCTCGTTGGGGTCCGAGGTTCCGTTGTACTTCGGGAGATCAGGCATTCTGAATTTCCTCGGGATGGTCTTTGGAGCAGCATTTGATGGGAATGGCTTTTGTACAGATTTCTTTGAATCTACACCCTTCAGAATCGGGGGTGCGCCTGGGATCTGATCGACCCTTGAATTGTAGGTCTCCTCCTTTTTGTCGTTGGCTTCTATCTTCTTTTTGCCCGATTCAATCCTCTTTGTGAGGTCCTCGAGCATCTGTAGATAGCGGGGTCGGGTGCTGACCCGTTGTTGCTCGATCTTTCTGGTACTTGTTCGGCTCGAGGAGCCGTTTCTGGTGCTGCTGTGCTCAGAGTTTTTTGGTGGCTTTGCAGTTGAGCAATCGCCAGCTGTTGTGCCTGCAACATCTCAAAAATAACGTAAAGGCTAACCTCTCGTCCCCCCCGAGCTGGGGTTTTCTGAGCTTCTTGTTGGTTTTCTTGGCGTATACACCTGTTGGTGTGGGAGCTTATAGCGGCATGTTGGGCGTTGCGCGAGACCACGTCCACGGGAATTGGTTCTGGTGCATCCTCAGGGTTTTGCGGTGGTACACCGATGCCTGGAATGTCTACACCATTCTTTCCATGGTCCTCGGGGCCGTTGTTCTCATGTGCATTCACTGAGTTAGACATTTTGACCTGAAATAAAAGATTCTCGGACAAGAAAAAGTGTGAAAGATAACTAGCGTTATTCAATAAACCATCACGAAAACAATCACTATTATTTTTAGCCCCACGGTGGGCGCCAAATTGTTTACCTTGAAAATGGTAATTACAATTAGATTTGATTTTGTGGTTCTAAAAATACCTGATTTATTTTTATGCTAGTTGTTAGGAAGTAGATGCTAAGTGTGAGACTAGAAAATAAGATAAGAGCTTGAAGATAGCGTGACAAGCATACCGAGTGGCCGAGAGTCGGGGTCTCGAGCTAGCCTATACGGGGCTTCGAGGTCGAGCTAAAGCGTTGGACTATGTATAACCGATGAAGGACTAACAGTTCTAAGAATTTTGATGAGGGCTCTTTATGATCAATGATGAGTAATAAATGAAGAACAATCGATGAAACACAATAAATGTAAGCAATGTAATAAATATAAGCAATAAAATCAAGGTTGAATATGTTTAAGTTAGAGAGCAGAGAATGTTCTTGTTCTTGTATTTAATATCATGTGTGCAAAAAATGACAAGGATCCCCTTTATATAGGAGGGGGAATCCCAACACAGTACAGGTGCATTTATTACAAAGATATGTGGCTGGTACAACTATTTATTATAAAGATCGACGACTGGTACAGCCATTTAGTGTCAAGGTACGGACTTGTACTATTCTTGTAGACCTGGTCAGCTTTAATCACGTGCCTTGGGAATTTCCCATTTGTCCAAGATAGCCGCCGATCTGCACTGCCCCGAGGTTGAGCATAGGGAACCCTCGGGGTCGAACCTCGAGCTGTGCCTCGGGCCTTCTGAATACGGGCTATCGAATGCCAAAATGATCGTAAAATCGGACTCTCCAATTTCAGCCGTATACAGATGTATTGAACCGGAAGGGGCTCCTAATTGGTCGTCCTCGACCCTGATCTTCGATTGATATCGATTGTGCACGTCTGCCCAAGTTACAGCTGGATACTCGACCAAATTTTGTTTCAACTGTCGTGATGCTATCGAGCTCCGCTCGTTCAACCCTTGGGTGAAAGCTTGAACGACCCAATCATCTATGACCATTGGCAACTCCATGCGTTCCATTTGAAATTGGGTACGAACTCCCTTAGCATTTCGTTATCCCTTTGCCTTATCTTGAAAACATCCGATTTTCTTGTTGCGACCTTTATGGCCCCGGCGTGCGCCTTCACCAAAGAATCTGCTAACATGGCAAACGAATCGATTGAATTTGGTGGCAGATTGTGATACCAAATCATTGCTCCCTTTGATAAAGTTTCCCCAAATTTTTTCAACAAAACGGACTCGATCTCATAATCATCTAAGTCATTTCCCTTTATACCACATGTGTACGAAGTGATGTGTTCATTAGGATTGGTGGTCCCGTTGTATTTAGGTATATCCGGCATACGGAACTTCTTGGGAATGGGCTTCGAAGCCACACTCTGAGGAAAAGGCTTCTGCACGAATTTTTTCGAATCCAAACACATAAGGATCGGGGGTGTCCCCGGTATCTGATCAACTCGGGAGTTGTATGTTTCTACTTTTTTATCATTGTCTTCGATCTTCTTCTCTCCCGACTCAATTCTTTTGGTGAGCTCCTCAAGAATTTTCATTATTGCAAGATTCAGTTCCTAATTCGTTACCATTCGACCTTTCTGGCACTGGCTCGATACGGCGAATGATTTCTGGCTCGACCCCACTCGGAGTCTTGTGTTGATTTTGCAGCTGAGCAATAACGGCTTACTGAGCCTGTAGCATCTCGAATATCACCTGGAGATTAACTTCTTCATCTCATCTGTCCTGCGTACCTTGACCACCAGATCGGCCTTCCCTGCGTACACTCCCTTCGGGGTCCGTGCCTAGGTCTACATTTAAAGCAACGTGTGAACTGATATCGACTGGATCGGCTACCGGTGCTCCTCCAAGATTAGCTAGTGGCACCCCGGCTCCTGGAGCAATTACATTGTCGTGTTCCCCATGAAATCCTAGACCATCATCACCATGTACGGGTGCGTTTTGAGAGTTCAACATGTTTTAACCTGAGAGCAAAAACACTTGACAAGAACAAGTGTGAAATAACGCGTGTTATCAGAATCAGCACTGAAACAATCACTATTATCCTTAGCCCCACGGTGGGCGCCAAACTATTTACCCTAAAATTTGAGTAACAGTTAAACTTGTATTATGGTTTTAAGGACATGTAATTGATGCCAATTGATAAACAATGGATTAAATAGATAATTTAAAGAATAAAGTAAATTAAACCAGTGTGTAAGCTAAATCTCGACCTCAACCTTTGAAGTCTCGAGGTATGAAGATGGGAATAATAAATGATAAAACAACTCTAATGAACAGTAAGTGAAATAGCAAGAGAGTAATGTGCGTATATTTTCTTATCTGTGAATAATGGGGCTTACAAATGAATGAGATCCCTCTTTATATAATAGGGGAATCCTAAATAAGTTACACTTCTAATTATAGTAGGAAATCACATTTGACAACTGTTTAACCGTTGTAGACCAATCCATTCCGTAATTCACGCCGTGATCTCCGGCCCGTTGCGGGTATCTCGCTCTTTCCGTTACTGAATCATACCGACATCATTTCTAAGCACGCCTTCTTCTGACCTCGGTAAGTGTTATCGACCTCGACCTTGGAAAGGGACTTCGACCCTAAAACTCGACGTCCTGGTCTTTCAACGTAGTATCACTTTTTCCATCGAGAGACAAAATCAGGTAGCCTCAATTTTCACCGTATACACCTATAAAAACAAGTGATATAACAAAGAATTAGGTATCAAAAGGAAGCTTATAACTACAGAATAAGTGCAGAGTAGGTTAGGAAAGTTTGGCGAAAATGTAACAAGTGTGCTGGAGCTGATGTTCTTTCTACGTGTAGAAGTTGTTTTATATATCAAACTTGAAACATCAGTCGACCAATAGCATTAAAGGCCTCCACGTTTAGGTAACTTCTCTTAAATTAAAAGAGAAACTTCTATTTCTTTAACCAATAAATGTCTATCATTGTTGAAGGACATATTAATATACGAGAAAATACAAGACGTGAACAACGGCAGTGAGGTGAATTTTTTTCTTCGTCGAATTCCCTTAACTTGTTTATGTAATTTTTTTTTTTTATAATATTTTTTGAATCCATTCGGTAAAGTTTCTGCTTCCGTCGCTGAGCAGAATAGCAGACCTAAATATCGTATTTTTGTTATATAAGTATGAGTAGTATTATTTTTTGATATTGTTCCCAATAAGAAAGGACTTTTATAGGGACAAAAGCTTCATGTGGAGTTCTGAATAGTTGATGCTTTGCTATTTCCTTCTCAATCTTACTGAAATGAAACTTTTCTTTTTTGAAATTCTTTCGAGAAATGAAGAAAATATAAAAGACAAGAGAATTACTTAAACCTACTTTTACTTTAGCAAACCTGATTGCACGTCTCTTTAATTTGATATCAAGGACCTACCTTGTTTAATAATAAACGTTATGTTCTGTTACTATGTAATATTTTTTTCCGGAAAATGCTTTTTGAAAAGTTAGCTCCCGTTTGATTATAGATTTGGCTACTTTTTTCCAAAATAAAATTTGAAAACATTGTTTGTTCATGGAATATAATCAGTTTTTGAAAAATTCTGAATTTTTTTTCAAGTTCACAAAAATTAGAAATTTTTTTTTTTCAACTCACAAAACGTCAATTTTTTTTATAATAAAATGCATGTTCAAATGCAACTTCAACTTCCAAAGATTGTTTTCTAACCCAACTTCAAAATTTTCAAGTTTTGACAAATTTATATCCGAACGCTAGCTTGGTCGTTTGTGGTGTTTGGTTGTTGTAGATGTTATTTAAGAAAAAATATTTTTATCAAAAGGGAAAAAAGTAACTTTCTTACTTATGGGAAATCTCAATCATCTTTTCTAGAATTCTTTATTGTTCATGTCGTAGCTGAAACGTTTGTTTGCATAAAGGATACGGCGTGCATCACGTGGTCGGTGACGGTGATGCGTGATTTCCGTCACCCTTAACAAATTACATACCTTTCCCCTCTAATTTAAATGTTTCACTAATATAATTTAACTTATTAGTGAAACATTTAAATTATTGTATAAAATTATATTTATCATTTATTACTAATAAAGATTTACTAGAAAATTTTTTCATACTGAATTTACCATCCTCAGCTATACTTTAAGAAAAGTACCATTCGTAGCTATATTTGACTTTCGTAGCTATATTTGAATTTTATAGCAAATCCACCTATATTCTGTATTACGAAGGAGGAATTTTTTCGGGAAATCCTTGTCTATCTATATTTTGCCTTGATTTTGCGCCATGTATGTACTTTATTCAAGTATGGAATGTTTTTTTTGCACCATGTATGTTTGATTGTATTTTTGTGGTTATGTACCTATGTTTATACCTCTGTATTTTTGTTGTTTGTAACCTTGTATACACTCTTATATTTTTATATTCCGCCTTGCTTGTATTTATTGCGAGAACGAATACAACTATGAATAATAAATATTGAAACAATAATTACGAATTGTAATTAGTTATAAAATTGTAGTACTTTCTGAAATTTGCTTATCGTATAGGCCATCAATGCACACAATTATAATCCTCTAAACAGAAACCTAATATTTTGCCGTCTGTTTTTCCTGGTTTCCCGGCGGCCCTTTGTCCTTTATGTCCTTTTATATTGGGAAAAAACTGAATTTAAATATTGAAGATGATATGTCATGACACGTGGACCGGTCAAATAGTCAAAGCATGACAAACAGTAAGAAGACACAAGCAACAATAGATGCGGGAGAGAAGACACGAGCAACAATAGATGCGGGAGAGAAGATACGAGTTACTATCCAGATGAAACGAGACTCGTACCTGTTCGAGCCATTTAAAGCTCGAAGATCAGAAGGAATTGAAGATATGAATCTGATAGCGTAAAAGAGTCCAAATTCAACATTAAATGCCAAATACGTTAGAGAATTTGTATTTAATAAGAATGATTGAATAACGTTTCTTTTAATGTCATTTACTGCTCGTAATTGCCTCATTAAGACAAAGATATTACACTTTCTCTTAGAATTGACTATAAAAGGATAAAGTCACAATATTTGTAAGACACAAAATATCATTCCGATTATACTGAAATATACTCTTATTCATTGCTTTATTGTTGTTCACAAAATCTCTTATTTCTTGATTATCAGTAACCTGATTTCTCTATTAAATTCTAGCTTTAACCAAATATTCAGTTTTCTGGTTAAACAAATTGGTTCCGTTACCGGGAATCTGATAATCTATTCTCTTTAAGTTACATTTTATCTGTTATTATCATCATGTCGAACCAACAACAACAACAACAATAACAGTGAGAATACCTTGGGAAACCATGAACATCAAGTCCATCAAAATCAAGGTGATTTACAAAACATTAACGTGGTTCCTCCCCCTCAAAATTCACCACGTCAATCTCGTGAAAGCACTCCTACTCCTGAATCCCGAGCTGTTGAACTAGAGCAATCTGAATATTTTGAAGGAGCGGATGACGCTTTACAGAAAGTAATTGATGTACGGGTTAATAAAGCTCTTCAAACTCTTGTTAGTCGATTACCTGTTGCACCGTCCACACCTACGCCTAATAACAACACACTGGAGAATCCTCGTTCTGGCCTTATCAATTCTGGAAATGAAGGAACCCCCAGTGAGCCACAGGAAGGAGAACCAGGTAATTCAAGTAATTCTCATTTGCAAAATTTAGTACTAACTTTGCAAAAACAGCTTAAGGAACAAAATGAGCGCATCGAGCAAATCCCTGGTGTTCCTCCTGTGATCAAAGGAGTAGATGTGGATAAGTATTCGCAACAACCTTGGAAACCAAGTGCTGCGCCCCTTCCAATCCCTAAAAAGTTCAAAATGCCTGAAATCTTGAAATATGACGGCACAACAGACCCACGTGATCACGTAACTGCATTTACTACATGTGTAAAAGGCAACGATTTGACCAAGCAAGAAATCGAATCCGTGTTGGTCAAAAAATTTGGAGAAACATTCACCAAGGGTGCATTAACCTGGTATTCTCTTTTACCTGAAAATTCTATAAACTCTTTTGCTGAGCTTGCAGATTCTTTTATTAAAGCGCACTCGGGAGCTCAAAAGGTTGAAAAAAGAATGGAAGACATTTTCAAAATTAAACAAGAGGACTCAGAGTTGCTCAGAGATTTTGTTGATAGATTCCAACGTGAAAGGATGACTTTACCCCGTGTACCTGATAATTGGGCTGCAATAGCTTTTGCAAGCAACTTAAATGATAAAAGTTCAGAAGCCACGAGAAGACTTAAAGAAAGCCTTCGAGAGTTCCCTGCAACCACTTGGAATGACGTTTATAACAGGTACAGTACGAAGTTGCGAATTGAGGAAGATACCGTACCTCAGTTTCATCATGAAGAAAGAAGCAATTCCAGGAGGTCAGGAACCGAAAAAAGATCAAGTAAAAACAGGTACGATCCATATATGGGACCTGCAAGAAAAGACTCACGGTCAAAGGAGGATAATCAACGATATGATCAAAAATCGAGGAATAGGGAATCTGGTTCTTCATCTAGGTTCAGAAATGACCGAAACAGACAAGAATGACAGAGGTTTAAAAGCGAGATTCGGTGGGTATAATTTCAATGTTACTACCTCTGAGCTAGTAGCTGTTTTAAGAGGCATGGGAGACAAGGTACGGTGGCCAAAAGAGATGCGGTCAAATCCAAACAGGCCCAATCCAGACCATTGGTGTGAATTCCACAATGATCACGGGCACAAGACTTCAGAATGTAGATTTTTACAAAGTGAAGTGGATCATCTATTGAAACAAGGGTATCTCACTGAGTTATTTAGTGAGAAAGGGAAACAAGCCTATATGAAAAATAGGCAAGAGCCACCAAAACCCCCCATCACCCAAGAGAACCGTAAATGTTATAAGTGGGGGAGAAGATATTTATGGTGTAACATATACGGCTTCCAACAAGGTTTCGAAAGTAACAATTACACACGGGAAACAGGTGCGGCAGGTTTTAGAAAATGAAAGTATTTCTTTTGATGATACGGATACTGAAGGAGTGATGACCCCCCCCAACGACGCACTGGTAATATCTTTACTTGTACATGACACTAATATAAAACGAGTTTTGATTGATCCAGGAAGTTCCGTAAATATTATACTACTGAGGGTATTGCGTGACATGCAAGCTGAAGACCAAATGAGACCGAAGGCACATACCTTGTCCGGGTTCGATAATTCAAGTGTGGTAACAAAAGGAGAGGTAGTTCTAACAACTTTTGCTGCAGGTGTTGTTAAAGAAACTAAATTTCAGATAGTAGATATGGAAATGGCTTATAATATGATCATGGGGAGACCTTGGATCCATGATATGGAGGCTGTCCCATCAACTCTACATCAAGTTATTAAATTCCCATCTCCATGGGGAATATGCCAAATCAGAGGCGATCAACAAACATCTAGAAGCATTAATTCCGTTGCAGATTCAGTTGTTAACAGAGGAGACAAATAGCAATTACAGAATTTAGGTGAGGGTAACACGGAGTCAACCTCACCTGAGCAAAAGCAAACAGATGTAGATTCGAGGCCTGACACCATTCAAGAACCAGAGGAGAACGAAAATATCAAAACAACGATAGAAGAGCTAGAGGCCGTGGTGCTGTTTATACATTGGCCCGAGAGAAAAGTATACATAGGAGCTAATCTTAGCCCGGAGGTAAAACGTAAATTGATTGAATTTTTAAAAGCTAATACATATTGTTTTGCTTGTTCCCATTCTGACATGACAGGGATACCACCGGAAGTCATGACTCATAAGTTGAATGAAGATCCATCATATCCTCCTGTCAAGCAAAAGAAAAGGAAGCAAGGAACTTTCAAAAATAAGGTGATTCAAGAGGAAGTTCAAAAATTGCTAAAAATTGGTTCAATTCGTGAGGTAAAGTATCCTAACTGGTTAGCTAATACTGTTGTGGTTCCTGAGAAGAACGGTAAGTGGCGAGTTTGTGTAGATTACACAGACCTTAATAAAGCCTGTCCAAAAGATTCCTTTCCTTTACCACACATAGACCAGTTAATTGATGTTATTGCAGGGCATGAGCTATTAAGTTTCTTAGATGCATATTCAGGTTATAATCAAATCAAAATGGATCCAGGTGATGAAGAAAAAACTTCTTTTATAACAGACAGGGGGACTTACTGTTACAAGGTAATGCCTTTCGGTCTTAAGAATGCAGGTGCAACGTATCAAAGGTTGGTCACACAAATGTTTCAAGAACATTTAGGTAAAACCATGGAAGTATATATAGATGATATGCTAGTTAAAACTCAACATTCAGAAGATCATATATCACACTTATCTGATACGTTTAGAATTTTACGAAAATATAATATGAAGTTGAATCCAGAAAAATGTGCATTTGGAGTGGCGTCAGGAAAATTTTTAGGTTTTCTTGTTTCTAACCGTGGAATTGAAGTGAATCCTGCACAGATTAAGGCCATTGAAGAAATTCCAGATATACTTTCTAAAGAAAGAGGTTCAAAGATTAACCGGGAGAATTGCAGCTCTGGGAAGATTCATTTCCAAGTCTTCAAGAAAATGCTTCAAATTTTTCTCAGCTTTAAAGAAACAGGATCATTTTGAATGGAACGAAGATTGTCAGCAAGCACTTAAGAATCTGAAAGTATATTTGTCAAATCCACCGTTGTTGGCGAAACCAAAGGTAGGAGAGAAGTTACTCATTTATCTTGCCGTGTCAGAAGTTGCGGTAAGTGCTGTTTTAGCTCGGGAGGATCAAGGTAAACAATCTCCTATCTATTATGTAAGCAAGTCTTTGCTAGATGCAGAAACACGGTACCCGCAATTAGAAAAATTAGTGCTAGCCTTGATTATGGCATCTAGAAAATTAAGACCTTACTTTCAATGTCATCCCATTGCTGTGGTTACTGCTTTTCCATTACGAAACATTTTACATAAACATGAATTATCAGGTAAATTAGCGAAATGGGCTATAGAATTAAGTGAGTACGACATCACTTATCAACCTAGAACTGCTATAAAATCTCACGTATTAGCTGATTTCGTAGCTGATTTCAGTCAGGGGATGCAATTAGAAGCTGAAAAAGAATTACAAGTTTTTAACGGTGCAAACCCGGGGACTTGGGTTTTATTCACTGACGGTTCATCTAACGTAAAAGGCGCAGGTTTAGGAATAGTTACCGTACCACCCACGGGTGAAACTATTAGACAAGCTATAAAGTGTCATTCGATAACTAACAATGAAGCAGAATATGAAGCTGTCATTGCAGGTTTGGCTCGGGAACTTGGCATAACCCAGATTATAATCAAGAGTGATTCACAACTTGTTGTTAACCAGATGCTGGGGACTTATGCGGCCAGGGAATCACGAATGCAAGAATACTTAGGAAAAGTACGTGAATTAATAAAGCAGTTTCAGACGTGGAAAGTTGTGCAGATACCAAGAGATGAGAATTTAGAGGCAGATGCTTTAGCCAATCTCGCATCTGCAGCAGACGTGGCAAAAGATGCAAATGCTTCAGTTGTACATTTATTCCATTCTATTCTCGAGCCTGATAAGAATGAGGTAAATTTTAATAATTTGACCTGGGATTGGAGAAACGAGATTGTTGCTTTTCTGTAGTATGGAACCGTACCTGATGACAAAAGGAAGGCACACGCGCTTCGTAGAAAGGCTGCTCGTTACTGTTTATATCAAGGAAACCTTTATCGAAAGATGTTCGGTGGTCCATTAGCAAGGTGTCTTGGACCTTCCCAAACAAAATATGTAATGAGAGAAATACATGAAG